TCGCTGATATTCTTTTCAGTGTGTATTACATCAATGTTATGTGGCAGAAGAAGGTCATCGAAATAGGGGAGCCTCGTCAAGCCAGATTTATGAGTCCACATATGTTCCTCACCATATCCCACAAAACCACCTTCTTCATTGGGCACAAGAGCATCTATCTGAACACGAACCTCGGCACCAGTCCTCAAGTGCGGTTTAGGGTCTGTCACTTTGACACCTTTCGTAAAGCTCTTGATGTCTTCTCTAAATTCATGGTCTAGAGGGAGGAACTGACGATGCTGGTCGAACGACGAATACTTGCCACCCTTCTTCAACCAAATGAACCTCACGGCTTCCTTGAATACTGGGCATGGGAACTTCCCGTGAACACACCAGGCGGCGAATAACCCATACGCCAGGAAGTCATGCAGGGAGTAGTGGTACCAAACGTGCATTTTGAAGCATGTCTTTGTAGCTCGATCGTATGTCCATACCCCCTTCTCCCAAGCGTGGATCAATTCATCAATCATAGGCTCTATGAACACACCCAAATTACTCTTTGGGTGTCTAGGAATTATCAACGACAAGAATACATTATGCCGTTGAAAGGAGATGCCGGGAGGGAGATTGAGGGGGATAACAAAAAACGGGCCAGCATGTGTATGGGGCAGCCATCATTCCATAAGGATTGAACCCATCTGTTGCCAGCGCGACACGTACATTATGGGCCTCAGCTGCTTTGTCACGATGTTTGTCATTGAAATACATCCATGCTCCAGCATCAGACGGATGTACCATCTTTCCAGGATTGTACCGTTTGCCATCTTTGTGCCATGTTATCTGTTTCGTGGATTCCTCAGTCATGAATAGCCGTTGGATCCTCGGTAGGAAAGGAAGGTGCCGTAGCACACTCACGGGGATCGAAAGCTGCTTCTTCTGACCATCACCAGAGTCTACCTCCAGGTACCTGGAGGATTTACACTTCGGACAGTAATTTGCATCCTTGTGTTCTTTCCTAAATAGGACGCACCCCTTCGGGCAAACATGTATCTTGTCATACGGCATCTTAAGCATACGAAGGAGTTTCTCTGCCTCGTACAAGTTCGTCGGCAAAGTGTGCTTCTCCGGTAGCATGGTGCCAAACACGGCCAACATCTTATCGAAGCCTTCTCGACTCAGGTTTAACTCGGCCTTCAACCCCATTACGCGTCCAATCGCATCCAGCTGAGAAATCATTATACGCTCGTGAAGGGGTTTCTGTGCCGAGTCCAACATTTTGTAGAAGTCCTTTGCGGATTCCTCCATCTCCTCCTTCTCACGTCGTTCAGTGAAGTGAGCTTGGTGGGCGTCATCTAACATGTCTGCTACCCCGGCATCATCATCAAAAGCCTCGAGGCGTGGTCTCACCACCTCCGCTCTTACACGATCTGCTTCACCATGGTAGATCCATTGCTGGTAGCCAGGCGTATAACCATTGAACACAAGATGTCTACCCATGATCTTCTCGTCTACTTTTCTCCTGTTGTCACATTTGCTGCAGGGACACCAAACTAGAGAATGTCCTCCTGCTCCTGGGCCAAATACATGTTTCAAGAAACCATCTGTCCCCTTCACCCATTCATAGTCATAGTCACTCCCGCTTCTCCAGCCCATGTACATCCACTAACGGTCCTCCATCCTTTAACATTTACAGCATAGAGTATTGTGACCATCAATTGCATCTACGCGGTGTTCCTACTGTCTAATAGGTGAGGATAGGTCCTAATCCCACCCGCGGATGCGTAGATGAGGTCAGTTTCCATGCTCCGCTCCTCTTCAAGACAGAATTTCGGTAGCACCTCCCCGCTGTTCTCCCGATACACGTCCTGCAAGGGAGAGTGTGTATTCGGAGAACAACAGGGAGGTGTTGACGAAACTCCTTCTCGGACCGGAGCGGACCATGGAAACTAACCCATCTACGCATCCACGGGCTGTCCAAAAAACGTGGACAATCCGAAACAGATACGGTCGTAGATACGCAAAGATCCGCATACCTACGACCGTATTTCTTTCGGACGAGAGACGCCTAACCGGGTTACGCGCGGGCTACGACAGACATGCGCAAAAAGAGGTTATTTATACCTAGGGTGTCGATGAAGTAAGGCTAGCGGGGCAGTGGTGAATCGACGCAATGGTGAGGCGACGCAGTGCAGGCAGAACCGCGACGTCGACGAAGACGATCGGGGTCCTCCGGGTCCCCTTCGACGTACTCTTCTCCTGCATAAAAAGACAATAGGTTATTGTTTGTTCAAAATTTCGGCAGCACCTCCCCTGCACAGGGAGGTTTCCAAAACCTGCAAAAAAACAACACGATGACCGACATTCACAACGGCACGAAGGCCGACAACCACAACGGCACGAAGGCCCTCATATCAACTTACGGCACGAAGGCCCACACAACCACATACGGCACGAAGGCCGACAACGAGAGTTTTACCTAGGGTTGCGGTGGAGTCGGGCGTCGCGGTGCGGGGGTCACTTTCTTCTCCGGTGAGGTCGAGCGGCGTTGGAGTACTCCTCTCCCCCTCTTCCCTTTCTTCTCTCCTTTTCCTCTTCTTCTCCTTCTCTTCCCCTTCCTCCTTCTCCTCTTCTCCTTTTCTTCCCCTTCCTCCTTCTCCTCTTCTCCTTCTCTTCTTCCTCCAACTTCACCTCTCGCCTCCTCCCCCAACAAAGAATGGCGGCGACGGGCGGCCTGGGGGCTGGGGTCAGGCGGATGGATGGCGGCGGGGGGCGGAGGGCCGACCAAGGGCGGCCGACCTCCCTTGCTCGACGGAGACGGGAACGGAGGCGGGCGTGACCTCGGCCGCCATCAGGCGTGGTGGGGCGGGCGCTGGGGGGGCGGGCGCTGTTGGGGCCAAGCACGGGCGGGGCGCAGGGGTGGCTAGGGCGCTAGCTAAGCAAGTGCAAGGGTGTGTGTGGGCGGTCTGTGTGGTGGTGGAGGAGGCAGGCGACCAAGGCTTGTGGCGGCGGGTGGAGGCGCGGGACGGCCGGGCAAGGGCACATGTGGCCAGGTGGAGACGGGCTCAGGGTAGCCAAGCAAGGCAGGCAGGTGCTGTGTGTGAGTGGGCTGCAGGGGCCAATGGCCATGAAGCCAGCGCGGGGGGGGAGATGGTCGATCGGGATTTTTTTTTGACAAGATTTCGATCGGGAATTTGGGCTGCGGCCCGATTTAGGTTTTGGCCCTTTGCCGAGGGCCCAGATCCAGGGGCCTCGGCAAAGATTTTTTTATTTTTTTTAAAAAAAAATCTTTGCCGAGGGCCACGGGCCAGGCCCTCGGCAAATTTTTTTTTTGGTTTTTTAACCCTTTTTTTTTGTGGTCCTATAGTACATTGTTTTGAACTCAATTTTAAAATTTAGGTCAATTTTGACTTTTTTTTGTATATTTTCTTAATTTATTTCGATTCTTTGATTTTTTTTCGAATATGTCAAATTTGAACTGCAGGTGCATGGAATATTGCAATGTAGTGTTTCAAAAAATGTTATTCATGTTAATTGGTGCATGTTGAGTCCCTATCCACGAACTCGCATCAAATTTCGCGCATCTTGTTCGCGTAACATGACGACCGGCTTGCCGGAAAAGTGTTTTAAAATTATATAAAATCCATACGAAGTACGAAAATCATGAAACTTGGCGAGATGTCATGTTATCGTATGTGTAGGCTATGGTAAAAAATTAAAAAGGTTTCGAGCGAGTTGCGACGTCGGATGCCTAAAACACAGACATCTCCACATGTGATTTGTCGTGGGCCTGTCTTTGCCGAGGGCTCCTGTGGCTAGCCCTCGGCAAAGAGTGTCTTTGCCGAGTGCCCGAGATTTGGCCCTCGGCAAAGCCTCAGGCTCTCGGCAAAGCACGCGTTTCCAGTAGTGACTCTGGCTTAATATCATAAAGGAATCTTGAAATAATTGTCCAAATGTCTTTTGGAGCAAGTGCCACATTTTCATAATAGAAGTATGGTGACCCAATAACCTGCAGTGGGTCCCGGTGGCTATATCATCCATCATCATCATCTGTTTCTGCTTCATCGGCTCACGTGGCAAACTTAAGGACTCAGAGTGACATCATAGTCTCCACGGCTTTGATGGATGACAGAATGGAGTACTGTACATTAGTGACGAGAATTACCAGCAGCTGGTAGTGCCGTGAAAACAAACTTGGTCGTTTTTGTCATCCACTGCAGGCCTGTCATCGTTAGCAGAGGCTTGCAATGAAGCTTCCAGATGGCAGTCGTGTGTACATGTGAGTGCCCTCCTTTTATGCTTTTTAAGGACAAATGGGTCATGTCTGCACAGAAAAAAAATGAAAAGCATGGGGGGTAACAAGTTAACAACACGTCCCCATATATGTGCTAAATGAGATTTGATTAACACAGACGAAGGCATGGTTTTTTACTATACCAACTTATATAAAGGAATTGTGTTGTTGACAAAACACAGTGCGCCTTCCACGTACCTAGTTTAGGCCCTGGCAGTGGAGAATGGTACAGCACGACTCCATGAGTTCTTGAAGCACGACTCCCTGAGTTCTTGAAGCCTTGGGACTGCTTCCATTCACCACAAATTGCTCTCCAAAACTGAGACCGATCAGGATCTCGTTTCAGTAGTACTTCAGTGATTCCGCATCAGCTGATCTCAACACCAAGGGATAGCACATATTTCCAGAATTTCTCTATGCACGTCAACTGCATCCAAGAGACCAAGACTGAAAACCAATAGCCGTATAAACCAACAATATGTGGGGTTACATCAGTGAGAAAGGACCATCTAAAAGCCGGAATGAAGATGAAACCCCAAAATCCCACCCCGCAAATCCATCTACTATCAACCAGTTCGTCAACAAAATAGGTGGGCATGCAAAGCAGGGAAATTTGAAGGAAACAAATTGAATAAGAGGAAAGTGAAAGGTCGTACCTTCATCAGAGCTTCTTGAATGAACGTGTGATACGTCTTCATATTCAAAGCTGTCAAGCAGCTGTTTGATGGCGTTAGTAAAACTGCTTCATGTCTATGGCTGGGCAGCATTTGATCTCACGGATCTGAAGAGCAGAGTAACTCCCACGACCACCATCACATCCTAAAGATGCAAGGCTTGGGCAGTTAGAAAGAAACAGTATTTCTAATGATGGGTGGTCTCCCAAGGAATTGACTGACTGTAACTTATTGCAGTCAGAAATATGTAGGACCTCGAGTGCACATAGGTCTCCTGACACAGAGCAGAGCTTCTCACAGCTGGAGATGTTTAAATGTTTGAGGGACGGTGGTAGATTTGGAAGTGTTACCAGGCTATCACAGGATCTTATATATAGATGTACGAGGCATGGACGACGAATAATTGGAGACGGCGATTGCTCTAGGGTACCAGTGGTGGATGCAGGGTCGCGGCAACGTTCCAGCGATGTATATGTGTCAAGATGCTCCTCCTTTCCCCATATGAACTCAAGCTTAGGGCATCGCCCAATATCAATAAATCTGATAGATGGGGGAAGAATGAAGAGCTGTGCCATGCTTTCACAACCGTGTATTCTTATCATGTTTAGATGTGACAGGACTTGATCTGTTGTTTGTGTAGGTTTGCCACCTTTCGCTTGTCTGGGCCCTATTAGCTTGTTGCAGGATTTAATCCACAAGTTCTTCAAAGATACCAAGCTTTGGAACACTTCTTCTGGCCAGTAGATGAGCACATCACAGTTTTCAATTGTGAAATCTGCAAGATGTTCAAACCATTTCCAGACCCCAGGTGTTAGCTGTGACTGGCTTGATACGAAGAAAAAGTTGCAGCCAGATATGCTCAGTAGTGACAGAGGTGCGGCTTCTGTGCCACCCAAAGATAGTTCCAGTTTCTGTGATGAATCCCAATTATAATCTATCTGAGGCAGTGCTTCTGTGTCACGGACACGCAGCATTAGCTCAGAAATTGAAGACATGTGCCTTGATTTAACTATTCCTAAGGAGAGCAGCGCCTTGCCTTCATCCAGCCTTACAACCTTGAGCTTTGGTGCTTCAGGTAGGCTAGTCAACTTTGGACAGTTTTTTATATCAACCTCCTCAAGTACAGGAAAGGTTAATTCATCTTCTTTTCCTTCTGTTGCGACCCATCTCTCCAAGCTCTCCAAATCATGTAACCGGAGTTGCTTCAGTGCTGGAAATGGCGTAGACACCATATGGCTGCATAGGCTTCGCAATTTGTCCAAATTTTCCAAATACAGAACTTCAAGGGCTTTGAAACGGCAGAATTGAGGAAATTCCTCACACAGCGTACAACGAAGCAGATGGAGCTCAGTCAAGTGCTGCAACAGACTAAGATCTGTTATCCATGACGGTAAATTGGTGCCTTTGTAGGACTTTATTCTTAGCATCTCCAGCCGATGATGAGGTTTAAGGGCATCTAACACCTCTTTATGAGAATCTGGTTTCTCACAGCCATCATCATTCCACTCGAGAGATAAGTGTGTGAGTTTCTCTTTATTTTCAAGACTGGCTGCTTTTGCAAGCACTTCTGTTACATTTTGCAGACCACTTAACTCTAACTCTCCACCAAGGTTTAAGTTTTGAACTTCTCCGATAGTACTACATCCCAAGCCATTACCAATAACAAAATATGTTAGAGTCTGCAGAGAAGTGATCTGTCCAAGTCCTGGAGGCATGCACGTCAATGATTTGCATCCATTGGTATAGAGGTGTCGGAGGTTTGCCATATACTTCATATCCTTTGGAAGTTGACGAAGGTATTCGCAATGAGAGAGGTCCAACGTTTGTAGATTATACATAATGCTTATACCTTCAGGAAGTTTCTCGAACCAATGTGACGACAGATTAAGATACCTTAGGTGTTGTATGTGTCTTGTAAGCTGTTCCTGTCCAAACCATCGTGTAAAATATAAAGGTTGTGCTGGAAGGTGTAATGCTCGCAGTGAAGTGTACTTTGATATATCAAGGAAGTCAGCATATTCTTTAAAAAACAACGTATGGAGCGTTGCAGTTTGTTTCTTCAATAGATGATCCAGTAGACTTGTAACCTGTTCTTTCCAGAAAACAGGCCTAATACCATATATTGATAAGAAGAGGTGGCGAGTCGGATTTAGCAACAGCTTGTTGACGCTCGGCTTACCAACTATAGTGACACATTCTTTCCCCAGAACAGATAGAGCAATGTCATGCATGAGATCATGTATCTTGCATATGGTTGACTTACGAAGCGACAACCTTCTAGAATAGGCAATTTGCCTGACATCTTGAAAGAATGACCTCTGAGTTAGCTCCTCGAAAATATATTTTCCTACGGTTTCTGGATTGTCATCCTCCTGCACAGGTATGAAGTCATGTGCCATCCACAGTTGAATCAAGAGGTCCACATCGATCTCATAATCTTTAGGAAATAAAGCACAAAATGCAAAGCACTGCTTCATATCTGAGGATAGGTCATCAAAACTGAGCTTGAGGATCGGTAAAATTCCGGTTTTCTCACTACAAATGTTACTTTTAGCTAATATATCCTTCCATTCATTTATACTAGTCCTGTTACTCAACATAGAGCCAAAGGCTTTGGCAGCCAAGGGAGATCCAACGCATCGACGAACAAATCCACTGAGAATGCCATCTTGCTCTTCAATATTTGGATTTTGCAAGCTGAATGCTCTGCTCTGGACAATTTCCTTTAAATGCTCGTCACTCAGATTCTCGATATTATGGGCTTCAGCTACACCCATGGTCATAATGTGAGCCACTTCTGCATCACGAGTTGTTGTTAGTACTGCACTGCCCTTGCCACCCTGCTTAAGGCAGGTCTTTAGTTTTCCCCACTTATCAGCATCCCGATTCCATACATCATCTAACACAATGAGGTACCTTTTTCCCCTTATTATACTCTGGAGCTCCTGCAATGATTTTTCACGACCTTTCTCATTGGTGTGGCAGATGTTGCTTGCAATGGTACTGACATCGAAATCATCTGACACGCAGCACCACCTTCGAAGCTCAAAGTGCTTCTCGATTGCAGGGTCATTGTAAATGAGTTGCACAAAGGTGGTCTTGCCCATCCCACCCATCCCAACAATTGGAAGAACCATGAGATCCATGTTGCTAGCTTGATCAAGGAGCATCCCCACGATTTTCTTCTTCTCCCGATCTCTAGATCTGCTAAGAATATCTCTGTCGGAGTCAATGATTATGGAATCTGTCTGTCGCCACTGCCTTGATGGCTGTGCTTGCTGCAAGTGTCTGAAACCAAATGTATTCATCTCGGTGACCAGGGCCTCGATGGTTTGCACAATCCTGCATAGCTTCTTGCCCATCCTGTAACGGAATACAATGGGACTACGAGCGGGGACTAGGAGCCTTGCTACCTCCGATCCAAGCTTGCTGTGGTGGCCCTTCTTCTTGGCTTCTCGCCGAAGCGCTTCGTACTTGAACTCATCAAAGACGTCGTTGGCCTCATAGGCCGCTGTCTTGAGGTCTTTGAGCCAAGCTGCTACTTCAGGTCGGGAGGCTCCTTTCTCCTCCGCATCCTGGATGATGTGCAGGATTGCTGGCAGCTTGCGCTCCAGGGTCTTGCGCTGCTCCTCCATGCCTTCCATCACCTTGTATTGGTCCAGCAGGTAGCTGGATGCCTTCTCCTTCACCATGGAGATCAGTGGCCCGATCAGTAACTCGGCCATGGTTGCTTCTCCGCCGGCAGGAACACAAGTACACAACCAACAGGAACCCGGCTGATCTGTCCTCCTCCGATCCGGCCGTGCGCCCGCAGCTCGATCTCCTGCATGCAACCAGCAGAATAAGCTGCTAATTTAGTCCCACCACAAGGCACAACCTCTAAGCAGAAATTAAGTTTGAGCAAAGAAATAAGTGAACGAACCAGTACTATTCGTTTCTACAAATTGCTTCAGGTAATTAGCTTCTCCGCGACACTGGTGACGACACCGGGCTCGGGAAGGACCAACGTCGGGGCGGCGCGGCAGCTCGCGGTGCTGCCGGTGCGCTAGCTGGTGGTGGCGCAGGCGGACGGTAGTCGGAGGAACGGCGGGACAGAACCGCCGCGCACGGCGCACCGGCGGCGGTGTATCGCGGGGACGACCGGTGGCCGCGCGAGGCGGTCTGACGGCGGTGTGGTTGCCGCACCGGCGGCGGAGCAGACCGGCTGCTGGAGCTCCTAGGCGGGCGAGCTCGAGGTCCCCAGGACGCCGGGGAAAAGCAAAGGCAAAGGCAATTAGGCAACGTAAGCGGTGGAGGTGCATGCGGTGTCTTCCCCCACATCCCTGTCTCATGATCTGTTTTCAGATTATTTTTTCAGTTAAAAATAGTATTTTTTTCTCACATTAAATCAATTAAAATAGTATTTTAATTTATTTTTTCAGCGAAACCAACGGAGCCTAAAGAAGTGCTAATCTATGTGGTAATCGAGGAGCAGTTGAGATTATATTAACGCATAATGACAAAGGCATCTTTCCTTGGCAGCATAAAAGAGGAGCAGCTGAGATTACGGATCCGGAATAACAATTTTCTATGCGGCAATCGATGCCAACTACACCTTGAGATGCGGCAATCGATCAATTATGGAGCAGGAGAGATTATCGGAGGGATTTAATTATGGTGGGTGGGGATTAGTAAATGAGGACGCGCCTGCTGGGAAACCGCCTTGCAGGCCGCGGGGATGCCCACCACACCACAGCTAGCTGTCGCTTGGCCCACCACCTCGTCCATTACGCGGCTCCCACGGCAACTGCCCCTATTCTCTCTCTTTCTCTCTCCCTTTTTTCAATCTCATTTTATTCTAGGTCTTGTTTAGATCCTATCAAAATTTTAAGTTTTTTCACTCTCTCTTCATCACATTAATTTTTGGACACATGCATGGAGCATTAAATGTAGGTAAAAAAATAATTAATTGCACAGTTTAGTTGTAAATCACGAGACGAATCTTTTGAGCCTAGTTAGTCCATGATCGAGACAAAGTTTGTCAAATACAAACGAAACGTGCTACAGATGTCCGGATTGCAAAAATTTGCAATCTAAACAAGGCTCTAGTTTCTTTTGTTGCTTTTATCTCATCTTTATGACCGAGTCTTTAGCGCAATGTTCCCAGCGAATCACAAATAGGGTTTACAAAACCAACGAAAACCACCGCTCCGGTCCGACACCAGTTCGGCCACACAATAAGAATTCAGGCGGTTTACTGTAAGGTTTTTACCAGTTACCTAGTGGTTTTTACCGGTTGCGCTGGCAATTCATTTTTTGAATTCGTCCGGTTTTTACCGGTTACCGACCGGTTTTTTTGGTAAAAATCGAAACCACCGGGGTCGGTAACAGGTAAAAACCATTTTGGATTTATCCGGGATGGATCCAAATAGACATAATTGTCTTCTTGGCACGGCCCTGCCTGCGTTTGTGGATTTTTGTGGGCGATCCAAAGCATCATGGCCCAAGTAGCACGGAGGGAGCTCCCGATATAAACAGGCCTAATTCTATCAATTTTGAAGACATATACATGTTCTACCAATTTTATGAAAATTTATTAATAGACTATCAGCCCGAAAATCCTAACTATCTTTCGGTAGATAGATAACTAAACATCTATAACACAACAGTAGCCCAATAATAGGCCCACAAACAACCCAAAGACCTATCTCAACATTTTAGATGGACTATCTCAACATGTTTTACGAAATAAAATTGATGAATGCAAAAAAAGTTGAGCAAAAAAATGTTGTTGAATGCAAAAAAAATTGATGAATGTCAAAAAAAATGTTGATGAATGCAAAAAAAAAATGGTGCGTGAAAAAAATTGTTGAGGAATAATGTCTGTGAGTGTAAAAAAGTTAAAGAAAAATGGTGGTACATATAAAAAAAATATTGGCTAACGTCAAGAAATGTTGGTAACAATTAAGCCAAATGTTCTTTTTCAGAAATGTTAATGAATGTTAACAAATGTCGATGGATGTTAAAAAAATGTTGTACATGAGCTTAATATAGACTTTAAAGATGAGTTGCACCCTATTAGCCAGCATGACTGTGATGGGCCTTGATGGGTCGCAATCGTTACCTATGGTAACGCAATTTCAATTTGATATTATCAATGTGGGCCTAAACGTGCCTCACATTGCTGATGCCTCGCGAAGCAGTTTAGACGCTGATGATGTTTCTTGTCCAATAGAAGTTGATGAAATCACAGTGAATTTGCTGGTAGATAACGTTTGGATTCACTGTGATCTTCTGTCCGCCTGCAGTTTAGATGCTGACGGTGTTTAGAAGATCACCTGCATTAGAGGCTGTTTGTTTGAGCTTTCTGCCAGTTTCTCAACGTGAAAAGCTAGAAGGTTAAACAAATAGTGAATTTCTCATGCAGCTTCCGTAAAGCTGGAAGCTCAGAAAAGTGAGTTTATACTATATACGTAAAACTGGAAAGCACAGTTCTGTGAACTTTTCTTAGCCTTTTGAGCTCAGAAAGCTAAACACATCTTATAAAATCTAGTGATGGCTTTTCAGAATAAAAAAGCCAGCAACAACTTTTCAGAAAAGTAAGCTGGAGCTCAAACAAACAGGCCCTTAGGTACATATACATGTCGCTCTGTTCGTTTGGCTTGTTTGGCTGATAAGCCATGGCTGAAAATACTGTTGGCTGAATTGGTGTGAGAGAAAAATACTGTTCGTTGGCTGAAAAAGTACGGCTTATAAGCCAAACAAGCCCAAGCGAATAGGGCGTACATCTCTCTTGCAATCACCGATTCCACAACATACAGGATCAAGCCAAATTTTACTCGCACATCACGTTTTTCCCCGAAATACAGTGGAGAGGCACTATGGCTTATAAGTCAAACAAGCCCAAGCGAACATGGCACATATCCCGTACATCTCTCTTGCAATCACCGATTCCACAACATACAGGATCAAGCCAAATTTTACTCGCACATCACGTTTTATCCCCCAAAGACAGTGGAGAGGCACATGTGAATATTCGTCCCTATAAATACACACATAACACTACTGCTATGAGGACAAAGTCATCACAGATACATTGCTGCTTAGCTGTCTATAGGCATGTCACCTACCACTAAAATAATAATGCAAGTTAAAATATTAAAATAAATTCAAGAACATACGAATATCCGAACCAAGTCGAGGACTCGAACTCGGTTGAGTAGGTTTCAGCATAAGAAACCTTATGATATCACTACTGAAGGATTGACTATTAGTACTGGTCGGAAACCCCCTTTAGTGCCGGGCGCCCGATCGGTACCGCTTCTTCGGTAATAAATGCAACGCTTTTTAATACCAGGTAGCTCAACTAGTACTAAACACGCCATTTAGTATCGGTTTGAAAAAAAAATCTGAACAGCCTAGAGGCACCTAGACGCGCATTGTCGCAAGTCACAAATCAGGCAATTTCGACGTAAAATATGTGGGAACGTGGTGTGGGGATTCGAACTTGGGAGACTTCAAGCCTCGCACAAGGCTTACTTACCATCTCATCTATATAGCACATGTAATGAACAAAGAGATGCTTTCCTTTTAAAGTAACCGGTGAATGACCTTTTCATAACATCATAACATCACCGGGTATTAAAGGGTACCTCATGACCCAGTACTTCCAATTATTTGCTCAGCCCATTTGATTGCTGGTTGAGATGGAGATAGAACAGACACAAAACAAAGCTGAAAAACCTATCTTGCACGCTGCCATCGACTAGACAACGTATATTTGTATTTGGCAATTTCCGTACGTATTGCAATCACTAGTGGCACTTTCACTAGGCTGGCTAGACTGTGTCTCTGTGGCCACAAACATGACCAAATCTCTGATCAAAATCGTGAAAGCTTTGCAGCATAAAAGGATAAACACAGGACGATGACATATATATGTGACGAATTCCGGAGAAGAAAGCGAAAAATCAGACATTACTGCTGCGGACCACGGATGGAAGCACTCACCTGCGGGAGGCCCTGCCGCCCCTGCCGGAGTCGGTCAGACGTCGAGGACGCGTTCGGCCGGGTGGGAGCCGCCGGCGACCCTCGTCGGTTCCGCCCTCTCCTTCCACGCAACGGCAACGCCATCGGGTACTGCGATCTGGCCCCTGGCGGCCGAGCGCTGGGCCCAAATTGTAGTGGGCCTCGATGCTCGAACGGGCCTGCTTGCGCGCTTGAAGTCGGTCGGGATTCCACTTTAAGATGCGTGTGCATATAATTAATTAAGTGAACGGACTAGATGGAGCATGCTGGCAGCCCAGGTGCATTGTGACGAGGGCTGGGGACCACCATGTGCTAGCATGCTGGTGAGAAGTGGGTAGAGCTAAAAGGACCGATAGGTGTTGGGTGATGTGAGTTTTGATTTCAAACTCTTCAACTTACTTATCTCTCTAACGGTGCATTTAGTAACGCCCCGTTCGGCTGGTACATAAGCCGGTTGGTTTCGACTGATTCAATAGTGTTCTGTGAGGGAGAATAAGCTCAAATAAGCTGACCCGGCTGAAAAGTAGTTCAAGCGAGATCTCTCTAATGGTGCATTTAGTTTTAATTCCGATTAAACTATGAGCCTTTTCGAAATTTTTCTAACGGATTGAGATCCCACATGACTGTATATATTTTTTTATTTTTGTTTTTTTAGTTTCATCATTTTAGATATATTAGCTCAACATTTTTATATATTAGCTCAACGTTTAAGATACAC